GCAACCTTTGAGCAGGTGGCAGAATTTCAGCACGGCTTCCTTTTCTCTTACACCGCGGGCAACCTTTGAGCAGGTGGCAGAATTTCAGCACGGCTTCCTTTTCTCTTACACCACGGGCAACCTTTGAGCAGGTGGCAGAATTTCAGCACGGCTTCCTTTTCTCTTACACCACGGGCAACCTTTGAGCAGGTGGCAGAATTTCAGCACGGCTTCCTTTTCTCTTACACCACGGGCAACCTTTGAGCAGGTGGCAGAATTTCAGCACGGCTTCCTTTTCTCTTACACCACGGGCAACCTTTGAGCAGGTGGCAGAATTTCAGCACGGCTTCCTTTTCTCTTACACCACGGGCAACCTTTGAGCAGGTGGCAGAATTTCAGCACGGCTTCCTTTTCTCTTACACCACGGGCAACCTTTGAGCAGGTGGCAGAATTTCAGCACGGCTTCCTTTTCTCTTACACCGCGGGCAACCTTTGAGCAGGTGGCAGAATTTCAGCACGGCTTCCTTTTCTCTTACACCACGGGCAACCTTTGAGCAGGTGGCAGAATTTCAGCACGGCTTCCTTTTCTCTTACACCACGGGCAACCTTTGAGCAGGTGGCAGAATTTCAGCACGGCTTCCTTTTCTCTTACACCACGGGCAACCTTTGAGCAGGTGGCAGAATTTCAGCACGGCTTCCTTTTCTCTTACACCACGGGCAACCTTTGAGCAGGTGGCAGAATTTCAGCACGGCTTCCTTTTCTCTTACACCACGGGCAACCTTTGAGCAGGTGGCAGAATTTCAGCACGGCTTCCTTTTCTCTTACACCACGGGCAACCTTTGAGCAGGTGGCAGAATTTCAGCACGGCTTCCTTTTCTCTTACACCGCGGGCAACCTTTGAGCAGGTGGCAGAATTTCAGCACGGCTTCCTTTTCTCTTACACCACGGGCAACCTTTGAGCAGGTGGCAGAATTTCAGCACGGCTTCCTTTTCTCTTACACCACGGGCAACCTTTGAGCAGGTGGCAGAATTTCAGCACGGCTTCCTTTTCTCTTACACCACGGGCAACCTTTGAGCAGGTGGCAGAATTTCAGCACGGCTTCCTTTTCTCTTACACCGCGGGCAACCTTTGAGCAGGTGGCAGAATTTCAGCACGGCTTCCTTTTCTCTTACACCACGGGCAACCTTTGAGCAGGTGGCAGAATTTCAGCACGGCTTCCTTTTCTCTTACACCACGGGCAACCTTTGAGCAGGTGGCAGAATTTCAGCACGGCTTCCTTTTCTCTTACACCACGGGCAACCTTTGAGCAGGTGGCAGAATTTCAGCACGGCTTCCTTTTCTCTTACACCACGGGCAACCTTTGAGCAGGTGGCAGAATTTCAGCACGGGTTCCTTTTCTCTTACACCACGGGCAACCTTTGAGCAGGTGGCAGAATTTCAGCACGGCTTCCTTTTCTCTTACACCACGGGCAACCTTTGAGCAGGTGGCAGAATTTCAGCACGGCTTCCTTTTCTCTTACACCACGGGCAACCTTTGAGCAGGTGGCAGAATTTCAGCACGGCTTCCTTTTCTCTTACACCGCGGGCAACCTTTGAGCAGGTGGCAGAATTTCAGCACGGGTTCCTTTTCTCTTACACCACGGGCATCCTTTGAGCAGGTGGCAGAATTTCAGCACGGCTTCCTTTTCTCTTACACCACGGGCAACCTTTGAGCAGGTGGCAGAATTTCAGCACGGGTTCCTTTTCTCTTACACCACGGGCAACCTTTGAGCAGGTGGCAGAATTTCAGCACGGCTTCCTTTTCTCTTACACCACGGGCAACCTTTGAGCAGGTGGCAGATTTGTCATTAATGTGAACAAACTAAAATCGATCAGATAAGATTTAAACCAGTCTAGCGCTGTTGTAGGCTCCCGGCTAATTGATGGTCCGACTCTTTAACTGACGGTTCATATTCTTTTATTTTTGAATGGTTTTTGGAGGCAGCATATGAACTCACCGCAAGAGCTATATGAAAATAAAAGTAAAAAAAAAAACACAATTACATTTCCTTTTAAACAAATAGACAGCCATTTAAACTAAGCAGATTGTAGATTAACACAAATTATTCTGATCTATTAATAAAACAAACAAAATTAGCTTAGCTATAAATAGACCAATACGAGGCTAAAACTTTCTACCGTTGACATATATTACATTCATGAAACAATCATCAAACTCCAACCGGACACGATATAACATGAATCTTTACTCTCCTCACTAGTCCATCTTTATCAGTTTCTGTCTCTTCAACTTTAGCCAATTTCCACTCGTTGTGAGGTGAATCCTGTCTTTTCCAGCACAGTGTCGCCGACTTTGAGATTTCTTTTTGGATTATGCCAATGTTGTCTGGTGGCGATACTGTAGACATACTCTATTCTCTATCGACCCCAGAACAGCTCGGCCAAACACTTTACACGCCGCCACCTCTTGCGAGCATACAGGTCCTCTCTGCTGAATCTGCCAGGAGGTGGTAAAGATGCTGTAGGTTTCATTGTAAGCAGGTGATTAGGTGTTAGTGGCTCTGGACTGTCTGGATCATTTAAGCTGTCAACTGTGAGTGGACGGATGTTTACAACAGCTGCTGCCTCATAAAAGAATGTCTGTAAAGAGGCATCGTCCAGCCTGCCTGATGAAGATGAAAGAGTGAAATGAAGAATATTCCTCACCGTTCGGATCTGTCTCTCCCATACGCCTCCAGCATGGCTTGCATGTGGAGCGTTCATACTAAAGTCACATTGTTTCTCAGCCAAAAATGTAGTCAGGCGGTTTGCATCCACTTGCTTGAGAGCTTCATTCAGTTCATTTCTAGCTCCAATGAAGTTTGTTTCTTGGCCGCACTTGTCGCGTACTACTCCTCTTAAAAAGGTGTAACATCGGAGTCCGTTTATGAAGGCATCTGTCGACATGTCGTCTAACATTTCAATGTGGATAGCTCGGCTGCAAAGGTGGGTGAAAAGCAAGCGATATCTCTTTTGTACGTTGCGTCCTTGTTTGGTGAGAAACTGACCAAAACAGTCCATCCCACAGTAGGTGAAAGGTGGTGATGGATTCACACGCTCAGATGGCAAATCTGCCATACGTTGTTCCTCTTTGAACCTTCTGAGTTTCCGACATGCAACACATTGATGTAAATGCGTTGCCACAGCTCTGTTGATTCCTGGAATCCAGAATCCATTTGATCTTATCTCATTAATAGTTAGACCCTTACCCTGATGCTGCACTTTCTCATGACAATGAGCAATTATTGCCTTGGTGATGTGATGATTTTTCGGTATAACGACTGGATGCTTCAGTGAGGTAGGTAGTGAGGCATTTTTCAGTCTTCCTCCCACCTTAAGGAGTCCATTCTGATCAAGAAAGACATCCATCTTAAGCAGTTTACTCTGAGAAGGAAGTTGAGCTACCTTACTGAGCAACTTTATCTCTTCCGGATACGCTTGTCTCTCTAAGTCTCTTATGATGATGCATTGTGCGTGTTCTTGCTCTTGTACAGTCCTGTGGTTTGTCGACTCGTCATTCTTAACATAACAGCCTGGATTGCCTTTGACCATGAAGAAAACTTGGACAGGCAATCTGAGAGACTTAACTGTTCCTGTGTCTGTGTTCTTAGAATCTGAATCCTCTTCACTTCGGGATCTCCAATCTGTTTTTCTGTGCAGACATTTGTAGCTGAATCTCCTTTTCCTGCAAGAATTGAGGGCCTGAAAACCAGCTTGAAATGAGAATCTCACTTGCACTTGATCCCCTGGATGCAATATCTGCTGGGTTATCCTTAGTTGAGACATACCTCCATTGCTGAGGAGAGGAGCTGAGTTGTATTTTCTTTATCCAATTTGCGACGGTGTGAAAACGACGTGCCTCGTTGTGAATATATCCCAAGACCACTTTCGAATCGGTCCAGAAATATTCAACATCTGTTAAACCAAGCTCCTCCTTCAAAGTGTTGCTTGCTGTGGCTGACACAACAGCGGATGCCAGTTCTAGCCAAGGTATCATTGTGACCTAGATTGGAGCCACTCTGGATTTCCCCATGAAAAGAGCACAATGAACATTTCCACCTTCATTCACTTGTCTCAGATATTAACACTGTCCATAACCACATGTGCTCGCATCAGAAAAATGGTGTAGCTCCTTTTCCACAACTTGGCTGAAACCAGGAGGCACATAGCAGCGTGCAACAGTGATTTTCTCCAAATTTGTAAGATCCTTCTTCCAGCGCTCCCACATTGGTTGCAGTTCACAGGGGAGAAGATCGTCCCAGCCTATGCCATGTCTACATATTTCCTGAAGCAACCTTTTCCCAGTTAGAAGGAAAGGGGCGTTAAATCTCAGTGGGTCAAAAATGGATGCCACCGTTGACAGGATACAACGTCGTGTTGCTGGCTGGTCTTTTAGGCTGACACGAAATCTGAAGGTGTCTGATGCGATGTGCAAGTGGATCCCCAAGGCTCTCTCTAAAGTGACATCCTTGAAGACCAGATCCAGAGCTTTCACTTCAGCAGCATGCTCGGATGACGTATACTCTAGTACAGCTCTGTTATTACACACAAACTTGTGCAATCTTAGACCACCTGTAGCACAGAGCTCTGAGCTTCTTTTGCAAGCTGAATAGCATCATCCACATTTTCTATACTGGTAACGCCATCATCAACATAAAAATCCTTCATGATGAATTGTGATCCAAGTGGAAGTTCAGTCTCCTTGTCTTTAGCAAGCTGTTTTAGTTATCCTGGCGATACCGCCGCACCAAAGAGATGCACTTTCATTCTGAAATCCTGTGGCTCTGCATTGAAGTTGCTGTCTCTCCACCACAAGAAGCATAGGTAGTCTCTGTCAGCTTCATAAACATAGAACTGAAGGGACATCTTTTCGATGTCACACATCAATGCAATGTTGTGCTGTCTGAATCTGAGAAGAACACCATTCAGGTTATTTAGCAGATCCCTGTCCTCTGATCTGCTGCTGGGTCTTTTCCACAGGAGAGCAGCAGCAGCTCAGCAGGAGCCAGAGCTCCCAGGTCCAGCTTCCTCAGCAGATCAGAGCCATCAGCACTATCGGTAATATCCTCCTGTTCTATTGGGAAATAGATCACTAGACGTGCATCAACAGAATTTAGTGCATTTTTAGTGCTGATACATGTTTTTATTTTGCATAATCTGACTTCATGTGAGCTGCCTTCAGTAAAATTGTAATTATGGTCCAATGGCAGCACCTCCAGGAGCTGCTGGGCCGCTGGAATAGCATCAGCATCACTACCTCATCCTGATGCTCCTTAAAATGAATGAGACAAGGCTAATGAAGTTTAGCCCACCGCTGCTTCCCTCCAAACTTCAACTGTCTAACTATATGAATCTTTCTTCATTTAGCATCTTTTCACTCAACTAATCATTTTGTGCAGCAGTCTCCGCCCCCTGCTCCAGCTGGTCAATGCCCTGAGCTGGAGGACTGTGGCCTGGAGACCACTGCGGTCAAGAGGGGCTGCATTTCCACCAAGGCCGCTCAGGTAAAACTTGCCCCTTTCAAAGGAGCCTGATCTAAATTCTAAACAGGGTAGGACTGCTCATAAAACATTTCAGTGTTTGTTTTTTGGTTGTTAAGTGGAGTTCTGTGTTTGTTTTGTGTTCATTTTACAGGTCAGCGGTGACACTGGTGGGTGGGGAACCAGTGTGGATGGAGTTAACATCTACATCTGGGGTCTCCAGAATGAGACCATCCTCCTGAGTGTAAGTACTTCATTAGTTTCATTTATTGTTGTTTATTTTATCATTGTTTTTTTGGTCTAACCAAATCCCAGATAAATGGTGGAACAGAATTAATGTTAAGTTCATTCTGATATTAGTGTGTGTTTCCAGTCTGCCCCAGGCCAGGTGCAGAGCCAGGAGGTGGAGGATGCCAGGAACACTGCTTCCTCCTCCCACCAAGCCCCCACCCCCATACCCCCCCCCCCCTCCACCGCCCCCCCCCCCACCCCCCGGCTCCCCACCTGTCCTAACCCCCACCTCCAGGTGAAGGGTGCTTTCTTATGTAAAATGTAAGTTTTGTAAACAATTTTATTTAAACATATTGGAAGTGAAATGACAGGGAGTACTTACATTAATATGCTGCTATAAGTTTCATTATCTCTATTAGATTATGTTCAGCAAAATGCATAATCACAACAGGCCAAGTACCAATAGATTGTTGAGTCAAGTTCTATTAAAGCTACAGTGTGTAATAATTACAGGCATATAAATTCAGAAATTTAATATATTATACATAACTATGTTATCTATCATCACCTATGAGCTCAGCCTTTTAACCATAACATTTGCGTTGCCTTAGAATTCGTTATTTATAATTACATAGGAGCGGGTCTCGCAGCCATGGAGGCTGACATCTTTGCGCTACGGCAGCGCAGAGGCAACAAACTAGCGATTGCGAGATCTCCCATGACGCTCGAAAATAACTACGGCAAGTTGAGAGAGATGAACTGAGACGGTACTGAACAGTAGATGGCAGTATTATGCCTGAGAAGCGTTTAGTCTGCCTGAAACCAAAGAAGAAGAAGAAGCAGGTATACTGCGCCTCGGTAACAAGAAAGGTAAACAAGGCGGCAGGCGTGAGTGACTTTGCAAACTGTTTGGCACTGTGTGGCCAAACATCAGACGAATGGAGGATCATGCCTACTCTGTATCACAACGAAAAGCGGCGGACACCGAACCCCCGTCATCTAAGAAGCGGAAACACGACGAGAATAAACGCAAGAGTGACAAGAAACGACAAAAAACACGGATCAACATTAGCACGGCATTTACACGATGGAAGTCACTGATGGAGGAAAAAGGTTTTCAAAGTGACGCTCAAGTTGCCAGTTTTCTCTTGGACAGGTAATTAATCCTACACACACAATTGTCTAATATCACTGCAGTTTTTGGAGTACAGGATGCTCAGACCTGTCTAAAACAATAACATGCTGCGTGATGATGCTGTTACTCTCCAGTATACTTATTCAGCAACGTCCCTGACGTTTCACAGGTAATGATTCAGTAATTTTCTGTAAAATAATTTTCTGGATATATACCTCGGTTACTTCTCTCCGGCTCCTTTGGAGATCTTCAAGCCTTTCCTCCTCTGCTCTCACCCCGCTGGCTCCCCTCTCTCGCCTGGCCCCAGCTGCACGCTCACCCCGGCCTCTCTGCCCTCTTCCTTTCCCTCTTCCTTGCCTTGTAACCCCCGTGCCACAAACAAGACTTGGACTCTGTAAACAGGGAATATATATTCTTCCAGCGAACACAATCTCGCTGTTAAACTAATGACTACAATTACTTCGTCTGTTTATATCACCATGCAAAGCAGCTCACCAAAACGTCACAACGACGTAGAAAAAATAACGGGTATATTTATTATCTTAAGTCTACATGAAATCTATACCCTACACAGACTAATGAAATACTATCTGTAAAATTATCTATGTAAACAAACCTCATCACTTGAGAGGGTAGGTGATGCGGACGTCGTGGAAGACATTTTGTCCCGTAACGCTCGCCGTACTGTTGGGGGGGAGAAGCGGTGGGGGGGAGACGTTCATGTTGCTGCAGTCTGCAGTCTGACCGCTAGATGTCGCTGAAAATTACACACTGTAGCTTTAATATTTATTTTTGATAATACTGTGCAAAATCAGTGCTATAATTAATTAAGCCATGTAAACTAAGAGTGACAAACTATTCCTTTTTAAGATCTATAGAATAATGTTTGGAGCTTGATCTTTGAAGGCTGCTTTCTTTGCCAATATGTTTGTAACCAGGTAACCGGATGCTTCTTGTAGGCGGGACAATGGGTGGGACTACTTCAGAACAGACCAATCTGCACACTGACTCTTTCCAACACATCAAAAACAAAGTCAGTCTATGCTGGAAATCATTGAATTAAATTTTCTCATTGGATAGGAGCATCTTACCTCAGATTTGGTCACTCATTGAGTACATTTAGAATCAATTTGTCTCAGTCTTTATGGTCCTAAAATGATGTTGGGTGGGTAATTTGGCGCATTTGCTGCCCTGATGCACTTTATCTTTATCTCTGTCTCTACACACTTGAGAGAACGGGTCCTCTTTTTACACAAGTGCATCGGTTAGAGTGGGAGGGGCAAGTGGGCAGGAAAAGAAAAATCAGTAATATAGGGATTTTAAAAAACGCTCTCCAAATTTACATAAAATTTAAAACCTGTGTTTATTTTTTTATTTGATATAATTGGCCTGGTTTCAGTGAGGGGAGATTTTACATTTTCAAACGTTATGGATTTTATTGGATTAAGTTTTTGTTTGAAAAAATAAAGCTCACTGAAATTTAAAAGAAGAAAAGTTCAGCGGAAAGGATGACTTAATGGCTCCTGTCTGCTGGTTTTCCTCACAGGAGAGCAGCAGCAGCAGCGCCCTGCCGCCATCTTGGAGCTGCAGCAGTAACCTGGTTCATCCGTTCTGATGAAGGAATAGAGGTAAGTAGAAATGCCACTCTTTCAATTCAATTCAATTCAATTCAGTTTATTTATATAGCGCCAAATTCACAACACATGTCATCTCAAGGCACTTCACAAAACAATTTATCATAGAAATACATAAAGATTGTGCTTTTTATTCTTTTTACTTTTTTTATTTGTATTAATTTATCACAATATATTTTTTGTGTGTGACAGCCAAGGCTGCCTTTATTGTGGAGAGACTGCTCCTCTGGGTTGTGCTTCCAGGAAGCGCTCCTTGTTCCTACCCCCTGAGCTAAGGTAGTAACATGTGGTTGCTGGGGTGAGGGGTGATTCTGGGCATCAATATGATCCCACTCAAATACAGCTGGGAGCAGCAGCATCAGCACATATGCACACTGTGCTGGATATAGTTCAGGCACACGTAGAAAACACTGAAACAAACAAAAACACTAGAGTTAAAGCATCCATCTGGAACTACATCCACTGCATGTTCGGCATCAGGTATGACCATTCTGATTACGGGGAGATAAATCAGCTTTTGGACCGTAGCTTTAAGATCTATATCAAGACTATGTAGTGCAGCCCTGAGAAGACCACCAAACGAATGTATGAGAGTTTCTGGAGGCAGTTGCAGCACTCCGAAAAGGTCCACGTCAATTTGCTGCTGATGGAGGCACGGATGCAGGCAGAACTGTTACACGCTCTGAGAGCGATCACTCGCTATGTGACATGAAGGGCTTTTGGCGTTTACTACCCTAGCTCAGGGGGTAGGAACAAGGAGGGGGGACCACACAAAAGACAGGTTTAACCATTTATGAAAGTAAATAAAGGTGTTAGTGTAGGTCAGTGGTGTATGGGGTGCATGAGGTGTGTGAAAGTGTACATGGATCAAATTAAACTAACACTGGAGCAGGAGGCCAGAGGAGTCCATGGAGCGCAGAGAGAGCAAGCCATGTGCTCTGGTCCAATTTATAGGAGGCCCCTGCAGGTGTGATACTCTCAGGTCCCCTTCCTGGAAGCACAAACCAGAGGAGCAGCCTCTCCACAATAAAGGCGGCTG